AGCTCTTGATAGATCTGGCCCTACCCAGCGATGCGCCATTGTAGTGTCTGGGACTTGGTAAGGGTTTGTGCAGTCTGATGAACTCGTATCGAAATGGTCTGGACACTTGGAACACTGTCGCACGCTAGAGGCAAAGGAGAACCAAAGATGGTATTCGTAAACGACACGATCTCCAGGGCTTTGAGCTTTTCTCCTATGAGCTGAGAGCTAACGATGGCGACGGAAGAGCGCGTCGGGGGCAGTGGTAGCAGCCGAGTCATAAGAGGCGTAAACATTCAGCCCCACGCCCCCAAGCTTCGGCGTGAGCTCGGTCATCTGGTTTATCGGGGATATGCGCACGTTCCCTCCGGCACAACGACACGTTAAGCACACCCTCTACTACCTGCAACCAAACACCGGTCTCGCGATTAACGCATAGCCAGCACCTGTGCCGCAGCAATCATAGTGTTAGATTCTGAAAGACACGAATGACCTGCATCTGAGCCTCGAGAGTGAGCGACTCCTTCAGCAACACGGTCGCCCTGGACATTGCAGCTCGATAGGTGCGCGAGAACATCGCCAGAGGCATCAAGCGGCCCGGGGTACGTCTCACCACGAAGGCTCTCGAATGGGATGCTGACCTCTCCAGCCTTGAGCACCACTTCGCGATTTCCCCGTCCCATCGCTTCACCATTCAACGCACGTCTCCTTATCGCCCACACTCCATACACATCATGAGCGAGTCGCGCCGTGGTGAATAGCTGGTCACAACCTCGACTGGCATGAGCAGCAGGAAGGCCTTGCCGAGACTCCAGCGGCCCCGGTCCGAGTGGACCCCATCCCAGCTCTTGAATACGGTTGTCGCACTGCAACGGCCCCGTGTCCAGGCGCGTCGTTCCAGCCCGTTGGCGGTCACGGATGACAGCAGGGCTATGAGGATACCCTGGAAAGTCTTTGCGAAGTACTAGCAAGCACCGGCTAGCGGAACGCGATCTCGCTTTCTCTGGTGAGTCTATGCGTGGAACCAAGTGCGACATGTCACTCCGCCACTCGCCTCGACCAATCTCACCGATCCGCGAACAATGGGCACGAGCCTGCTTGGACCCAAGCTTCTACGGCAATACCAGATCGTGTGTTCCACTTCACACCGGATCCGGCGGTAGCTAGTTGGATTACATCATCATCAAAGCTCGAGCAGCGCCAGGCTCTGTAGCCGATGACACGGCAGAAGGCCTTCGTGGAGCTCCAGCAACCGAGCGTCGTGGTTCTCTTCGCGAAAAGGCTAGCTAGCAACATGGTCGTCAGACGAGCCATTTTCTCTCTGGGGTAGCCGAGAGCTTATTGCACCATGGTCGGGCACATCCCTCCACATCCACAGCTTGTCGTCGCATGGCGGCAGCTCAGGCTCATTGCGACAGTGGCGGCCCCACTATATGGCGCGATGATAACACACGTCCAGCCGAACGTTGAAGGATCTAGGAGCTCACCTGTTGCCTCCTGCAACTCGAATCTGTAATGCTACGGGCTCGAAGCCGTCAATTGCATGGATCCGCGCCGTGCCACAATCTTTTGCAGCTGGTGCAGCTGCAAGAACAGCCCTAGAGCTCTCGAACGCGCTGAACCCTCCCATCCTCTTCTACATACATCTCACTACTCTTCATTTCTCTCCTTTGCGTCGCTGGAGTTTCCTCCGTGACTGTGTGAACTGGCTTCTGATCAATCTCACTTGCCTCCAAATGGCTTCCTGAGGCTCACACATTACATTCGCTGCCCGTCAACCGGGGTTAGCCCTAGAGGGCCTCGCGGGCGCGCTAGCCCACCGACAGGGCGCGGCGCTGTTGCCTAGCACCGGAACTAGGAGTGCTGCTATTCCCAAGCCACCGACTACACAATCTGCGATTGCGAACTGAACCTTGACTCCGCGACACTCTCCGCCATGCGCGTGACAAGGTCTATGGCGAGCAGCGAGCAGCTGTTACCTTCCTCTGCATCCAACCGGCCCCTCGATCAACCCTCCTCACACACCCCGACGCTACCGGTGCCACACCTCTTGCCCAAACCGAGATACCATGAGATTTACGACTTCATCCAGGGACTTCACGACGGCAAAGAATCGGTCCAGTATGGGGATCATAAGTTCGCCGTCGCAGTTCGACGTCGAGACTGGCCTTCACTGGAGAATGAGCTGTTCGAACCATGTGTGGAGAGCGAGAATCTAAACCGGCACACTGCTGGTTGGGCAGGCGACAAAGTCTACTACAACTACGATGACCGCACAAGATCTCTTACCATCAAAATGCGCGGTTACGCGGTTTACGAGTTGGCCAAGGGAAACCTTGGTTCCCGGCTGTGTGAGAAATTGGACGGTGTGAAGAAAGACGTTGAACTGGGTGTAAGCATACTTGATCCAGATCATAGAACGCTCGCATGCTCGTACCTCAACGATATCAACTTTTTCGGCCGGATTCAAACACATATTGGCCGTCAGTCCCTTCGCACGCCTTGTATCTCTTTCAACTACGCACTCAAGAATTTCCCAGGATTCGTCGTTGAGATTTCGCATGGTCACATGGATCTCAGACGAGCAGCGCATGATTATATAGCTCGCAGGAAGGGTAAGTGACATCGCTTGTAAACTACGTGTGGGATATACACTGACATCAAACACCGAGTTGCAGGCAATACCAAGACATTCGTCGGGATTGAGTTTGAACATCGTACGCCTGAGCAACAACGCGTGTTGCGCGAACAGCCTCACTGGGCCACCTACCAAGTGTTTCGTCTTCGTGTCAAGGACAAGAACCTAGCGGTTATAGACGCCGGCACTCGTGTCAAGTTCCGAGATGCTAATGGTGTCATCTCGCCAAACGCCAAAATCCCGTTCTCTGTAGCCGACTTTGTAGCCGATTCTGCGCAGCCAGATACAGTCGATCTTCATACTCTACAGCTGGACTTTACGCACCAAGAGCTTCACGACATCTTCTCGGACGCAGAAAATTGTTCACGCATCGTAGACGAGTATAGCGACAAGATGCGTTCTGAAAGGAGGCTGGAGTATGTATCCTCGGAACTGAGCGATGCGGATAGTGATTCCAACACTTCTGATTCTAAGGATGTCGGCACCGATGGGAACAACAAGGACCAGGGCGATTCTGATATCCTCAGCCATGTCGATGAGAATCTCAGCGAGCATGGCAGCCCCAGCGCCACGATTGCCACTTCACCGGCCCCTGCACGTGGCTCACCCCCTCTCAAGAAGCGGAGGCGCGATGATCCTGGCAACATACAGATTGGCGAGATCAGAAAGAGCTGAAGGGTGGTTGGACCCTCTGGGTCGGGCGTACAGCCTCTCGCGTGTGGGTGATAATCACGCTTATAACCCTACTGGCTCGTCATCAAGGCGGCCTGGTACACGCTTCTTTCTGTTACACGATACCCAGAGTTCGACTTGAGCTCAAAAGGCGCGACTCGCGGATCATGAGTGACCTGATACCATGACGGGACTGTCACAGAAGTTTAACTTTCATATGATATCGCGGTGTCCACATACGATGGGTGAATTCCACAACGCAGTCCATGACGTGCGCATCAAGTGATAACCTCTTTCTCATCCCTTCCATTATTTAAATAGCGGATTCAGTCATCGTGTATCTCGTGTGTGTTGCGGGAGTCATTGCGACACCGACTTCTACGAACAAGTCTCCTCTTCAACGATAAATTGCTCATGACATGTAGATGTGAGCCTGGCACGATCTTTGCCCCGTTACCAAGATGTAAAGGCTGAGCTGTCACATGCTTATCGGTAACGGCAGTGGAGACAATGTTGATCAACGCCATCATGATGTTTACGCTCTACTCATAGACAAGTTTCTATAATTGGTGACAAAGAAGTAGATGCATAGACTGAAGGAGATCTTGAGCTAAAGGGAGAAATTTGACAGAGAGCCTACGTTCCAGTAGAACACTGGAGCAACGACAAGAACCTGAATCGAGTTCTGCGCTTGCACGACAGAAGACGCGATAGTATCACAAGAATGGCTCGATGGAAGGCGACGCTAATCGGAGGAAGAAGCTGGTCGGATCAAAGAGTCACGACGCCACGAATTCACGAATGCTTCACTGATAGGGACTGAGAAGGTACTAGAATCTTAGTCATCGCCATCAGCGGTTGGTGAGCTCTCCAGTGCGCGTACAAAAGCGACTGCACATAGGCCAGCATCATACACGACAGATGTTACACGACATGTATCGAGGACCCTGTGTCGCGGTCGGCGACAGCGTGTCGACACGCAAACCGTAGATATCTCCTCCGTGCCTCCATATGAACAGAGTCGACTTTGCATTGCTAGCACACTTGAAGCGTAAAAAAGAAAGGGGTTTGCTGCATTAAGCAGCACTAGGACGTGGTGGTTGGCTTTGAACAAACAGTCCTGCGACGGGACGAAGAGCTTACCGCGCGCCCCATCGTTACTTGCGCATCCAGCCGACGTCGTTTGAGAGCGCTGTCCGGAACGAGAGCACACCTTTCAAGCCAGACACCCCGCTTCCCAAGCGTCACGAACTCTCTCCAGATGTCTGATGAGCTGCCCAGACTATGCTTCACCTACAGGCTTTGCACCCATCCTGCCACGGCTCCCGTGATATGCACAAAGATGGGGCATGACATGGTCGTGCTCATATCGTGGTCGTGATGAGGGCATACCGTGCGTCGTAGTGCTTGAAGCGGAGGTATCATGTAGGCTTTGTCGGGTGCGGCAATCGAGAGCTGGCTGCGGGGATACGGACGGGCATGTAGGGATACTCGTGTTGGCATAAAAGCACGCAGCGGCGTGTGATGTGAATGCGGGCAAAGCGGCGGGTTGTATGTGACAGCAATCGCGCAAACTGTAAGGGAAAGCAGCTACATGGAGCATCCGTCGGCGAAGACGAGACCGAACACAACACGTGTTCCTGCGATCCCAACGACACACCTCTACCTGAGCGAAGGTCTGCCGAGTCCAGCGTCCCAGAGTCCATCTCTTATGACCGCCAGTTTCTCCAAGGTGTGCTCCGACAACTACTGTGCGGCCCTTACACCGATCGCGAAGGCGAGAATCTCGCTCATTGGAAGACTGGGATCGATATGCTGCGAGCAGTATTTCCAGCTCTACAAAGCTTTGCATCAGATCAGCCACATGACATCGGCGAGAAGCCGGCTTCCCTAGATAGCGCCTCGAACCTCTCTCGCAACCATTGGGTTTCCACCTCTGCTCAGGAACTCGGTACTTTCCTCAAACAAGGTCGTGCTCTGAACGCGCATACACCGACTTTGCGGATCTCCAATACCTTTGAACGTTTCCAAGATGCTGAAGCAGCTTTCCTTCGCTTCGCACAGCACCGCGAAGTGGGTTTGATGTACCAGAATTGGGAGATTATTGGCGGTAGTACCTCAGAGATGACCGCTCAAGACTTTTGCAAGCGATACGAAGTTCGCATGTCAAAGGAGAGGCGCGCGACCTCCGACGAGTTTAGAAACCTTTTGAGCATCTCCGGAGCAGCTCTGGAGCACGTCGTACCAGGGCCAGACTGTCTTCGGGACCTTGGATACAGCTTGCTCAATGATCTCAAGGTTCAGGTTCATCTCGACGAACAATCTCAGTTTGGACCAGCCGGAGGCAAAGAGACAAAGACGCGAACAATCGACTGCGAGGCCTGCCTTCAGTTCGTGTTGTATGGAGAGCGGTTTTCATTCTCTGGGTGGCACCTGGATGTACTAAATGGAACGTGGCTGACAACCATCACCGGCTTCCGTGCCTGGTTCATATATACTGGACCATGGACCGAAAAAGAACAGAAGGAACTAGAAACCTCGGGGGCACAGTGGAGACCAGCTGCTGAACATGTTGAAATTATTCTTCTCCGCCCCGGCGACACACTCATCATGAGACCTAGTCATCCGGTAGTACACTGCGTCCTTACATTGGACGACTCTATTGCACGAGGAGGCATAATCTAGTCAGCAGCCGACATTGGCAGAACTATCAAGAACATCAATTACATTATCCAGTCGCTAATGGCTACAAATAAAGACATACCTTGGCAATTCTGCAATTACCTAGATGCGTTGTATTATCATGTTTAGGATGGGGCACCGACAGATACGAGCGCGGAATACGCACGTCGATTACAACATCCGGTGTACTCTTCTAGCGACCTGGAAAGCATCGCAAACCTCATCAAGCAGCTAAAGGACAGCAAAGTCTTATCTTGCGCTTGTGCAAAGACATGTAAAATCCCGTCGCAGAAAGACTTTGACCGTTGGGAGAAGCTTGTGAAGCAGGGCAATGACGAGAAACGGAAAGAGGATCGGAACAGATTCTGTCCGTGCTGGTGTTCTGGAGAACGTGTTCATGCTCGGGGCTGCAATAGGTGGTGTCATGCAAAGAAGAAGCTTGCTTGCATGGTGTGACGGAATGCATTCGGATCTGTGCGCGAATGCTCGTAGATAAAGACGCTCAAACCACTAGACTCATCGGGTAAAACATACGACCGCTCGTTGTGAAGGTGCTTCGTTGCCGGCCTAGTGCCTGTCAGAACCTTGGAACGCTTCCACGTCACGATATTCGCCATTCGACCGTTGGCGCCACTGGGCTCGTCGCCTGCAACTTCCCCGTCCGTTCGCACCTGTCTCTGCCTCACGCGTAACCATGTGGAAGGTGATGGAATCTTCGTCTCCCGAGATATTGGTGTGGTGTAGAAGCTCATCTTCACTCTCATCGCCAAGGTCGATGTTTCGCGGATCAAAAGTACTGACGTAGACCAGTAGTACGGACTGATCAGCCTCATATCTTTCGAAACAACTTACCACAGCTTGGTTGTAGCCCGGACTTGCGTCGACTCGAGTGTCTGAGATGCCGCTGCCATGGGCGTTGTGAACACGCTCGTGCTTGACCATGGTAGCGGGTCATCCTTGGACGCTGTGAGTGTGCGCGCGCCCGTCGTCTGCCATCAAAGAGCTTGAGAGGTGGGGTGAAGTCAACCAATAGGTGCCAAGCTAACCTCCGGGGTCCATCTGGGTGGGCTACCAGTGCGGAACCCCCCCACGCCTGATTTGTTCTCTGTCTTTGGCGCTCGAGCCTGAGGGATCTTTTCGCCACATGTTGGACGGCAAGGTGTATTTGCTACGATGCTCATGTGTTGGCGTTCGAGCGCTGCGCAGCATCTACCCCATTCTGAAGACTCCGATTTACAGTTTAGCGGCTGGCCCGCGCGGCCCCGCGCTGACCGCGAACGCCCCAAGCCCGGACACAGGTCCAGGCACTCGCCTGATATTTATCGTCCGTCCATTGTTTTGCTACTTCACAGCGTCCTTTATCATATGGCACAACCTGCTCGCGACGCGTCAGATTGCGAAAATTCCATCTGGTCAAAGACCCACTCACAGCTGACACGATAAGGCGATCACACGGCGCTGGAATCGACTCTCGTGCGTCTGTACTAGCCCACACAGGTTTCGCATGAAGAGTATTATCGTCCGTTGGTAAGCTGGTCTCGCTTTTTTGGGTATGGTAATGTCGTATGCCGAATCGAACTCTCGATCCACTACGCAGAAATTCTATTCTCAACGCTAATCGCAGTCCCAGGCACGAGCCCTCTCTATGAACGGCTGCAGTCTCAAGCCCCGAGTCTCCCCACAACGATCACCGGGTTCGTACACCCACAAGCGAGGATGCGGCAAAGCGGACATCCCGCATGGGCGGTCATTGTGGAACCAGTGCTGGGGGGCTCTTTGCCTAGGATAAGCCGCGATTCGATACCCCTTGATGTCATGAACGTATCTCGCTGTGGAGACATATCTTGCTGGGTGATTAGTTTATGAGCTGTTCACGCTGTCCAACGAAGGTGGTTCTCGGTGTCACATGCCACCACATGACGAGGACGAACAAAGCCCGCCCTTCACTCTTTGGGGTTGTCATCCGCGGTTTGAGGACCTTGTACAAAACATCGATGCCGGCACATGGGTCGCTCCTGGCGACTGGGCCGGTGGCTGTTCTGTTACCAACGACCTGATCGAACACTTCCCCCGGGCGAGCAGCTCGCATTTCGTGCAGGATGGCACCACTCGGTACCCCACCTTTGATTTGGTCTCGCTCGAGATCATTCATACGAACCTGAAGGATATCGCGGTACAGCTGCGCGCTTCGTGCCCGCAGGCCATCATGGATCAATTGTCCGCGACCCTGGAGCACCTTGACCGATTGATCCATGGAAACCAGGAGATAGAGACTGTCAACGACGGGGCCAGCATCGGCTCCCTCAATCTGAGTGACCTTATTCGGGAGCCGTTACCCGATCTAGAGGTTGCCGACAATGCCAGCATGCACGCCTCGGATGACGAGGAAGTTACTCTTTACGAGGGCGAAACCCAATACCTTCAAGCAGTAAACGGTGGGGCCACCAATGAAACCTACAATCTCTACCACGTGCTCATACAGTCAGATTTTGAAGACAATGCCAGGATCCTCGAGCTTGGTGATGCGGAGATGGCTGCGTACGAGGGCGACACGGACGAGCCTTCAACGCTTTCACTTGATTACGACTTCATCTACGCCGACGACATGGACGCCCAACCAGTCCAAAACCAAGTCGATGCCAGCGCGGTGCCTACACCATCCAACACCGGCCTTCTTCAGCAATTCGAATCAATGAACGTTAACGACTATGGAGAAGAGGTCTCGTCCCCGACCAATGGCCCACTTACCCCTCATGACCATCACGGCCCATCCGTAAATCAGTCCCTCGGTACCGACAGCACCGAGTCTGAACTTGGGCCTGGATCTGGCGACGATGAAGCCGTCATGTCGCGCTCTGACCTCAACCATGACCCTCAGCGGAGGCATCTTCCCGTGTACGACATCCGCCACCATGTGTGCTCATCAAGGAACGGGTGGACGTGGGACTAGTAACCTTCTACCCACCACGTTGGTGGGTTGTTTGTCCAGAAGCCTGCAGTACGAGCTAGATTGGATGAGAGGTTGACATGCCATGCGCGAGTTCGGGTAGTACCTAAGCTGGAAGGGGTGAGGGGTTTGAAAGGTATACAAATTGCGAATGGGGACGAATTCGACGGCAGAGACGGCGTTAGGTGCTCATTGGCGTTGGCGTTGGCGTTTTTGCTTTCTCGATCAGAAGACATGTAGCGTGCGACGGAACAGGAAAATAATTGTAATGGTACTCAAGGACAAATGTAGCATGTGATCTCCTGATACCTCTTGCGTTGGTGTAGCAGCCAACGTCATCTCGTTGGTTTGCTCGGAAGCAAGCCGCACTTCCGCATCTATTGCCTACCCCGTCCTCGCAAGACTGTCTTCATCACTTTGCGCAAAGCATGACTCTTACTTAAGCAAGCTTTTATAGAAGTTCCGTGCTGCTCTTCTGACTAAGACTTGGAGGATGTCGAGCAATATGGACCAAATGAGATACGCCCTCTCATGTTCTGGATGGCTGATACCAAGAAACTCTCCTGAATCAAGATGCACTACACTGAATAGTCGACCGTGTTTCTACGCACAAGTTGCTGCAACCTTTTGGTGGCGAATATCGACTACACAATGCAGACGGCGAGGACCATGTAAGCGCGACGAGCTCATTGAGCTAGAATCCGAAAGTCAGGCATGGAGAAGAAATTGATGGTCGAAACAGCCAAGTATCATCATGATAGAATCTGATGCCTATGGATGAAAGGAAAGCACATGGTAAAGTTAGGACAGAAAGCTCACAGCATGACGGGGACGGGAATGGCGTTCAGATGCTTAACTGAATTCGTGCTAGATCTAGAGGCAAGGCTCATCACTCGAACGGTCTCTGGAAGCCCCACGCAAGATTCTGGCATTGGAAATGTTCCCATTTTTAGCCAGTAAACCTCATGTTGCAAGCTCGTCACCCTGCGTTTTCCGTGTACTGCATCATGAGATGGTCGGCACAAGAGAGCGGCCGTGGATCCAAATCCAGAAGGATGCGTGAGAGTAGCATGGTAAGTTCAGTAAGCGTTGAAGCACTTGTCGGCTCCAGGTCATCGGCCCCTGAATATACGGCTACCCGCACGTGGTGTGATGGCACAACACAACCTCTGCCCTAGGGGGTGAAAGACTGGATCGGTTTGGCTACGTGACATGCGCAATGGGCAAGATTAAGCAATCCTACGACTTACTTACTGTATCGAATGCGCAAGTCGTAGGAAGTAAAAGGCTGGGAAGCGGTGCGACATTGAGCTGATCTCTGGCTTCTGCTGCAGCTTCGCGCAGGCTGATCAAGCTATGCTACAATGGCTCCCTCCGTTTCCTATGGAGGCAAACCCAGACGGTGCGATTGGAACGTGAAGGCCTTCAAAGACTTGGGCACAAACGCGTCCTGATACCACAAGGGCGTCTATAACCGGAAGAAGGCGCTCCTTAAGGGCAAGGTGAACACACGGTCGAAAGCGCTAGGCTGGAAGAGACAGGCTGGTCGTCCTTCTCATTACCTCCACTTGCCAGTGTACTGTGCCAATAGCCTTTTAATTAGCGCCCCTAATCAACGTACTAGAGATGACGTATGGGGCTGCTGACAAGCCTTTATGCTTTTCTAAACCTCGGAAGACATCGGCCTACCTACCTTAGGATGGCATTGGTCGTCTCGAAGCTTTTATATTGAGGCGAAGTAAAGAGTCCTTAGGCAGATATAGCGTACGTACTCCCTTTGTAAGGCCTACAAGGAGAAGATGGCTATGTTTGCGTGTGTCGAGAGATACCCATAGTGCGACGGCAGACACTACGGCACCTGTTAGTCGAGACGGCGCAACCTACCGCGCCTTTAGAGACAGATTAGAGGGTCTCGACCATCGTTACACCATCTTCCTTTCCTGTTTCTCTTTCCTAAGTTGAATCGGAGGGCGCTTAGTTGTCGACGCTTGATGCCGCCACACGCATCATGAATCGCTGAGAAGCAGCTTGAGCTGTAAAAGGGTCACAGTCAAAT